ACTTTTGTGGTTATTGAGAAAATAAATGCCAATCTTAAGCCTGCAAAAGCAATTTCAAAGAACCAACGCACATTCAAAACATTCTCAATAATTTCCTGATTACGACTCAAAAATCAAGCTTTTTTCACACATAAAACGACTTTTTCGCTTGAAAACACACATCAAAGGTTAATTTGCAGCTTTAGAGGTTTTCGAGAAAATTAGAGCCAAACTTGGGCTTGCATATGCAACCACAAAATTGTTTTGCAAATTTAAAAATTTTTTCAAAATGGCCTGAGGATGGTTAAAAATCGAAACTTTTGCCACTTTTGAAACGGACCAAGCTCTACACAAATTATCAAAATTCAATCACCACAACTTTACTAGTTTCTAAGTAAATAATTGCAAAACATCGACTTGCATAGGTTGCAAAAAAATCTAAAAAATTTCCTGAGGGTGACTCAAAGTCGCAACATTCTGGAAAAATCAAAATTTTCTTCCGATTTTGGATGCTGGCTCTGAAAAAGTTCTCAATAAATTTCCGCACTGAAAATTGTATATGTTTTTGTTTACCGCAGCATCTGTTCGAAAAGGGTCGACGTTCAACTACTGAAGAAACGGAAAAATCAAGGCGCCGCGCCAAGTACACCTGCCTTAAAGTGGGCGCACCTGTCTTAAAGAAAACAAAAAAAAATGCACCAGCTGGGGCATTTTCTCCTTGTAGAGTACGATTCGTGTTGACTGCCAGCCCGCATGGGGATCGTTTATTAAGGCCAATCACATCGACTTTTATTTCTTCTTATGGCACGCTTCGCGCGTACAGGAAGAATGTTTCTTACTTTTGGGGGTTGGTGAGCGGAGCCCAGAAACTGGTGTTGTGATTACATTTAGTAGTGCGTGCAAGCTATGCATAAATCACCAATGCCCAAAAGAAAGACCCCAAATCCGATTCGATAGGGCCAATAGCAGGCACATGGAACAAATGATGGGTTGCACTCGCATTATTCATTTATGTCATCTTCAACAATCAGAGCAAGATTTGTTTGGCAGGACGGATTTATTTTCTTCACTAGCAATTTACTTCACTGTGCCGCAGTGTGTAACATTCGGATCTCGGAAACCGTTTCGAATCGAACACCGTTTGTTCATTTTCTTCAAATTATTCTTAAGTTTCACGAAAGATATGTAAATGAGACAGAAAAAATCACGCTTGTCTTTAATGCTTTTATAGTTTATAATCTTCTGAGCAAGAAATTGAGTAATTATTGAGTTTAGAAGTTTAGTCATTACTTATTATTTAAAGGATTGTTTAAGTTATTTTTTTTGTCACAGCTGTTGGACATCAAGAACAAAGTGAATGTGGAAAAAAGTGTTACAAGTAATTTGCAAAAATAAAGCCAGCGCGATAGTTGCCCTAATAACTGAGGATTTTTGCAAAAATTAAAAAATTTCAGTCGAAATATTTTTGTAGCTTAAAAATTCCCTTCTTTTTGCTTCGTTCGTTACTTTTTGCGTTGTAGAATGGTTTTCTTTTATTGCCATTAAAACACAGTACACAAGCAACTGGAATTTCTTCGCATTTCTAATGAGAAGTTGTTGAAGCAGAAAGTTGCCCATTTTAAGCAATCAAGAGCAAAAAAGTGCGCGCATAATGTGGCAAATATTTTTCAGGAAAATTTAGAAAAAATAGAAATTCTAGTTTGAGCAAGCTTTTGTTTTCTGTGACTGTTTACTGCGAACTTGCGCATATAAATGTGCAACTTTGCCCAAGGGCGGATC